AGGACGTCTGATACATATTGCCAAGAAACGTGAACGTGCTAAGGAAGCAATCGAGCAAAGGCGGCGGAAACTAGAGGAAGAAACGAAGAGTCGTAAGACTTCCCTCTCTTTGTTGACTAAGGACTTAACAGCAGACATGTTCAATTCCAATTAATGCACGATGAAGAAACGTTTGGAACTTTGTCATTTTATCGTTTATGCTTCTCTCATTTCAGTGAAATCAGGCATCACGACAAAATTCACGGCGAATTACGATGCTATAGAAGATTCTCTAAAAACTAGTACTGTTGGTTTGGTAACGCTGGACGAAATGCGAGAAAAGCAACGAGATGTGGTTGAAGCGAGGTTTTACAATCAGTTTTTGCTTTTAGATTGCTCGGACATCTACAGCTCGATATAAAATTTCCAAAAGTTGAATACACAGAGTATACAGTAGGAACAATATAACAAAGAGAGAGAATTGGAGGAGATATTTTGAAAATCTAATCAACAAAATAGCATGGTGACCATTTGTTTCACAAATCAAAGTAAGGTAGAGTGTCATATCCATAACAGGAAGTACAGCGAGTGCGGTTATTAGCTGTCAATTTGACTGGATACTTCGATACTTCTGCAGGGAGTTGCAAAGAGCGATTGAAGGGAGTTCGAAGGAAGGTGTCAGAAGTGCGGCTAGCGATAGTAAAGGCTGTCAAGTAAGTCCTAATATCTCTTCATATGCATTGTTGCTTTTCCCGATTTACAGTCGTGGTCATAATTTAATGAAAAATGATGATCACAAAGTCATTTGTCTGATTTCGCTTGATCTTCTTTATCATATCATCAAGCTATTTTCTCGATATAGGTCACATAGCTTCATTACAATTACTCCATGCTTGGATTCAGGTGATCTTCCTATGTATCCATCCGATTCTTTTACTTTTTCTCTCGTGATATATATATGTTTTATAAATGAGATAATTTCAGAAACGAGTGCTTTCTTTTGCATTCGATGATGATGATGGCGATGAGGATGTGGCATCTGCGCCATTGGAAAAGAAAGTAGGCGTTCCGTAGTTTGTAAAAATTTGCTTGCTATAAAGTTATCAGTGAATGCAATATAATCTAGTTTCAGCGAGTTGGTATGGATCCAACGGTGGAGACCGCATTCCTTCCAGATCGTAATCGAGAAAAAGAGATGGCTAAGTAAGTTCATTTTCCCTTCATTGTTTTTTTTTGCTGTGATAGATTTTCAAATAAATATTTATTAAAGGTTGAAGGAAGATCTCGCAAAAGAGTGGCAGGCGTTGCAGGAGAAAGAGAAAAATGAAGAGATTAACATTGCATTCGTATACTGGGATGGCTCTAGTCACCGGAAGGACTTGAAAATGAAGAAAGGAAATACTATATCACAATTTCTTGTCCGAGCACTTGAAGTAATCTTTGATGCATTTCGCCATCGTCATACCGACCTTCTCTCCTTCTCTACGAGGATAAAAACACTGAAATCTACTGATTCAGATATTTTTACAGTTGTTGAAAAGGGAATTCAGCGAAACGCGGGCAGCTGTGCCGGAAAGTTTAATGTTTGTTAAGGAGGATCTCATCATACCTCATTTCTACACGTTTAGTTTTTTTTCTTTTTGATTCACACTACCAACCACAAGTCTAATAAAGACAGAATTTGAATCTAGATATCTTTATTGTTGCCTCTACTTCAATGTTTTAATAACTGTACGTCTTATATTTTTGTTATGTAATGTCAAGATAATAGTACATCACTGTAATCTTGGTATAGTTATACGTCTTATATTTTTGTTATGTGGTGAGTGTTAAGATAATAGTACACACTGTATTCTTGGTATAGTTACATCATTGCAGTACTTATTTGGACAGAATGTCATCGTTTCAGGTTTCAAGACTTCATTGTAACGAAAGCGATGGGCAAAACTGGTCCTCTCTATGAATTTGATGCCGCGGGAGAAATACGGCTAAGACAGGATGCTGCTGTAGATTGTGGTGAATCTCATCCAGCCAAGGTATTATCAAACATCCGAGCGTATAATCTGTATCTTCATTGAGTCTCCTTCCTCTATAGACCAGCTGAGAATTGAATGGTAATTTCAAGAATACTATGTACGAATACGGGAAATTCGTGAAATGACCATTTAACGATATCAGTCAGTATAGAAAAGTAGATGATAAATCAGTTTTCTTCACATATTCCATCCACATATCAGTGCACTGTACTGTATTCCAGTTGTTATGGTTTGAAAAAAAAAAGACTGCTAAAAAAACTCCAGTGAAAAAGGATAAAATAGTTTTATGTAGCGACAAACAAGCCCAGTCCATCGAACTAGTTTTTCAGGTTGTACTACGAAGTTGGTACGAAAAGAATAAGCATATATATCCGGCATCGCGATGGGAAGCTTTTGTGCCGAACAAAGAATATAGACGAACAATCGATGACCTCACCACCATTTGAGCAGTGAAAATAAATCTGGTGGTAGTCCCGCGTTCTAGTTTGACACAAACCGCTAAAGATGTTCCAAAGGGGTAAAGTATGCTTGCATCCTAGCTCATGGGTCTTCCCATTTTTAGTTTATTTTTCCATTTTGGCACTGTTGATAATCATCCTATAACTTTATTATGTGTACAATCATTCCCCACTACCCATCATGTCAGCGTTGCTACTCTAAACCTTATAACAGAGAAAGGAAGCAGCCAAAAGTAAAAAAGAGAGGAGGGAAAACTTTATTCATCAACACAGGAAATCATGTAATTCATGTGTACTAATGAATAATCCTTCTTACCAATTTTTATCATCTGATCCCACCAACATCAAAACATTCGGACACCTCATTAGGACCTATCAAGATTATATCTTAGTGTATAATAGCTCTAATGTCCATCTGACAAAACCATAAACATCCTACACATATACAACAGAGAAAAAAAATGGAACTCTACTCATCGTTGTAAAGAAAGTCCTTTGAGCTGTTCAATACAGGCATCTATATAATTTTCTTTGATGTTCTCCTTATTAGCCATTATTTCCGATTGGACCTGCAACTTTTTCATTGATTTACAATATTACAGTGACATTTCCGTTAAACGGACGGGTAGTTGAGCTACTACGCAGCACATTAAGGAACGTGATATATGAGGTCATCAAAAAGTACATGAAACCCCATTAAAACGTCAGGAAAGAGTTTAAAGCTGCAGCTTACCGAATTGATAATCCATTTTAACATATGGTCACGAGCGAAACTATGTTTCACAGCTTCCGTTTCTTGCAAATAATCAAGACGACGTTTCATTTCAGTAGCCAATCTCTCTACATTTCTTCGATAGGTTGATTCTAGTTGAAGGGCCAAATTTTCTTTAAAGATTGCTGGATAATACTCTTTCATCGCTGCATAAGCACTTTTCTCAGCTTTTGATGTCTAAAACAAGGCTCTATAGCTTACAAAGTCAATCCGTGTTTTTTCTGTCAAGATTTTTCCACTTTTCCTTTCTTATAATGAAAAAATATTGTAGAATATTTCAGCTATAGACAGAAGCATCAACAATAAAAAAATACAGAATATTCTTCGAACGCTGGAAAAGATAAGTTAATCATGTCAGGGAAGAAAATAAATTATGTATCTTCTTTTCTCTCCAGCCAATGTTAGTACTATACTAACACCTTCTTACCACTGCTAAAATTACACCATTTATGAAGCATGACCTCCTGAACATCTCGAATTGCCTTGAAGTTATTGTCGATGATATCTAGGTACTTTTTCTCGGCTTCCTTACGATTTTCATAAAAATATTTATCCCATCGATCTGTAACGGTTTAAAGGCACTTACAAATTACAAAAAGAAAAAAAATTGGATTGAAATTCACGGTTCTCATTCCTTCTAATACGTATAAAGCGAACTCCCAAATCTGGAAAACGTAGTACAACTTAGAAGAAACTTAGAAGAAGGCTAAAGAGCTTATCATTTTGAAATTCCGCGTTATTTTCATCAGCCCCCCTAAATGGAAGTAACGAAGAAATTTCAATACAGGTGGCTAGTAGGTGGAAATAAGAGGCATATGTGAAGAGACATAAAATAAGAAAAATAAGAACTCACAGTTGAAAGCCCTGGAGAATATGTAGTAATAGATTAGCAGGACTAAGATCTTCACCCTATCGTGAGCAATCTCGAATAGCCCTTTCGTATGCAGAAATGCATAAAGCATCGTGAAGAATACATATGGCCCTGAAAAAAACGCGAATTTGACCAATATGGTATTACTAATAATGAAGGAATCTAGTTGTATAACATCAATCGAAAGCAAGAGGGAACAAAACTACCCACTTATGCAGGCTTACTAAGCAGAATCAAAACGCGCTAGTTTCTAATGTGATACCGAAGAAATTACTGATGTACAACACCCGCATCAAATTTTCCTACTTCGAAAATCGATCTACCTATAGCATCTATATACGAATTTCAAAAAAGATTGTTAGGCTTACCAGACGTTCCTGTGTATTTATGAAATTCATTCATAAATTTGTCTGGTATAATCATAAGCCGCAACTTCGGCGCATACATACGCTTTACAGGATATGGATAATTCACCTAAAAACAGCGTCAACAGGATTTATAAACATTAACATCTTATTTCATGCGCATTATAAAGCCCAACTTGGTTTAACATGCTGATAGATGAACATCCAAGCAGTATATTTCCAAATAAGCTTTTTTTTCCAATTACATACCAGATCACGTTCCGGATATTCCTTGAAATCTTTCGGTAGCGCTGGTAAAGGTGGCGGAACATAATGTTTCCCGATATCTCTCATGAAAGATATCGGGGCATGCGATTCATCCTTCAGTGGGATTCCTATAAAAAAAAAGGAAAACAAAAACCACGACATGACCAGTTTTAATCTATAAAACAATGCTGGCTTAATTCAGTATCCATGAAATAAAAGTATTTGAAAGGTTCAAATGTAAAAACCATAATCCAGCAGCTCATCACTAAAACTGATGTATTATTATTAATCAAGCAAACCTTGGAAGCGGTACATCAATTTCGTAAAAAATCCAGTTCTTTCAGGCGCAGTCTTCCTTTCCACTACATTGCTTTCTGACTTTGCAGTGCTCATCAGAACGCTAACTGAAAGTGCCTAACGCCATAAAGTTTCACATTTACAATTTTAACTTTCATATTCCTCCTACATTCGTCCTACTTAATTTAAAGCATTATTACTCTTAATGTATAGCAAACTATTGCCTTACCTAACTATGTTACTTGGAAACTTTGCTGCTCATTCCCATTGCTTTCAAATTCAAATTTAAACATGCAAACGATGCATCATTGAAATAATCAGTAAAATGATTTAAGATGAAAGGTAATGGAAAATGCTAAAGAGAAAGTAGTTTACCTGTATACGTTGGTTGAGTACACCGTAAAATGCAAACTTGCGTCCGAGTTCCGGTGGCTAATGCGTACCAATTTAGCGCCATCACAAATCACAGCACAATAGAGTAAGTAAAACACTGCAACAAATTCGAATAAACGATGATAACTTGTTCTTGCATGATCGGATGAAGATATTAAGGTAAGCAAGAAATAAAATTCGAAATGTATAATATGACTACTAATAATACTATTATAATGTATTACTGATTGCTACCAGTGAAAATCCACGATTGCAATTTTATTATCCATTAATAATATTAAAGGATAAATCTGAGCCAATTTAACAAAATTAGTAACGCAAATTCAGTTTTAAATAGAACTTTAACTTAATTAAAATTCATTCATTTTATTTTTGTTGCATTCATCAATGGATTAGCATTTACTTATTTAACTTGAATGATTAGAAGCGAATTTACGATTTGCAAGAGGATTTTTGTCATGATAAATGAGATAAATAATGAATGATACAAACAAATAAACAAATAATCGTAAACAAATATATAGTAAACCATATGAGTGTAAACAAATTAGGTAATTATAAATCAATAAATGAAGAGATAAGAGGATGAACTGAATGATAGCTATCCCAAAATGAAGCATTTAAATTTGCCTAAAAGATTTTTCCCACTCAGTTTAGATGTAATAACGTTAACGTTAACGTGAAATGGTATGATTACAAATGCTAACAAACGTGTTTGAACACGTTGACGAAACAAACATATCGATTCATTCGATGTAATACATTTTACTATTACGCTTATTCATAAGTGTTGTATTATTATACCATTGAACAGTGTAATTTGTTAGGAAAACGCGGGATTATTTCGGGGATTATTCCGAATTATGAGGGAAGCCTTGCAAATTCTGTGCAAAATGACAGTGACAATAACATCATTCCACAAAACTATATAATTTTACTTTTTGCATGAATAAAATTCGGGTAGAATAATGGGTAAATAATGGGAAATAGTGGGTAGAAATCTGAATGCAATGGATAACCCAAACCAGGAAACTATAAAGTATTCAGCAAAATTATTACACAATCTAAGGTTGCGGCCGGCCGTAAAACACCGGAGGGGCCATCTATGCTGATAGTTTTTACGTCATGTAAATGTTTACGAGTTGATAGGGCAAGGGAGGCGGTGGATATAATGTTATTCGAAGTGTGGATGAGTCTGAGGTTCTTCCGGCATTATTGGGAGACAGGCGAGGGGGAGGGAGAAGTTAAAAGTACATAAACAAAACTTCTCGATGAGATTCCGGAAGAATAACGTTGGGTGTTTGTGTGGTATGTTTACGTTCAATAAATTAGCACAAGTGTTATGTAGTAGAGCGAAAGATGCGAAAGAAATAGGTATCAAAAGTCATTAAGATGTATTTGATAGATATACCAGGAACTAATTGTAAGTTATTGAAATTAAAATTGAGTTAACATTTAATCTTATTATTTGTTACTTAGTTCTAACTATTGTTAATTTCGAGCAGTATTTATGTAATCAGCATGAACTTGTTTCGAATATAGATAATACATTACACATAAAAATAAGTATTGTTTTGTTGTACGGCTTTCTGAATAATTTTATTGTTCTACAAACGATTCTGTTATTTCTTAGGATACGACGTGCTTCAGATTTAGCTTCCCATCCTATTTTTATTAACCGAGAAAAAGCGCTTTTTAGGTCATTATATTGAATTAAATGTAGTTGTCATGGTACTTATTGCTGTCATACTATCGAGAAGAATCCTATCTCGCTTATTATGAGTCATAAGATTCCTATGGTTAGCACTTCGTCACAAACTCCTCTATTGCGCCCCGCTGTTCAGGTAATACCTCAAAATTGCTGTGTGATCTTTATTTCTAAGCAGAGGAAATGGAGTTTCTTACCACTAGCTCGTATCTCTTCATAACTCATTATGAGTTGTGGTCAAAGAAAGCGACAGAAAGTTAGTATATCATGATGCTAGAAGTAATTTTGAAATTTATAATGCATTACTTAAAGCATTGCTCGTTGCTTGTGACATTCAGTGAACGTTTTGCTCAAAATTGGTTTGTGACCCTAATTTCAAAAGAATCAAAAGATAGCTGTAGTCAGTGGAATTAAAGCAAAACTGGCTGCAGTAGGGGGCTATGTCTTTTCCTCGTTAATTATAAAGTTGTTGAATTATATACCTTCGCAACAATTTAAATTACAGCTACCTGTTGGCCAAGATTCCATTTCGTCTACTTCGTTGTTCTCTTATTCGGCATCAGATTTTATCTACGATTTAAGGAATCCGCTGTCAAGCGACAAGGAAGACCGTTCCAAAGTTGGTCGATTTTTTCAAATGTGGACATACTTTTTTTTTTCTTTAAATATATTATATTGTATTAACGTGTCGTTCTTACTCCAGTCTTGAACACAGTTTTGGATTGCGGCAGAATTTAGTTCTTTTTTTTTCAAAGAAAAGGCACCGATCTTCTTGTTTTGTCCCGTTGTTTCCCCTCTCCCCTCCCTCTTCCTCTGAATATTACTACAGCATTATCTTTAGAGGGAGGAAGTTATGTCTTGGCTACGACATTTCTTCCTGCTCTTTTCTTGTCTTTGAATAGTGTTTTTCCGATAATTACTTTGCTAAGCTCTTTATATTGTTTCGAAGAATGGTTCACTGAATTATTTAAATTTTGCCAATGAAGAGGTTATTGCAGTTCGAAGATTTACTTGTATCCAGATGGGAAGATGCCAGGAAGCATAATCTACTGAACTACGATCTAAACTGCATGTACAAACTGCTGGAGGGCGATTTCAATTTATCCGTACAAGTATATCATCTTACTTTTTTTCCCAATCTTTAGGTTCCTAAGGATACTAGAAATGATTAAATCACTCCAATCAAAGCTTCTGTCAAATTCAGAGAAAACGAGACACTATGTATTGTTTGAACGTTTGTATTTTCAAAGTGACTTTCTTAGAAAAACTTAAGCGATTGGTGTCATGTTTTTTACCTGATTTTAGCTAGGTCTTATAATCCTGCATTATTCACGGATTTTCTGGTTCCCTCTTTTGATCGGTCCAGTGCACTAATTCACGCAGCATTGAAGGAGAAAATATTGGCTAGATTTCGGAATGCACTATTTCAAAATTTAAAAACAATAAAAATATTGTAAATGCAGATGCGGTAACCTACAAAAATTCATTGATCATTCAAATTGCTTTTTTAATCTGGCCCGTGTTTTCATAATTTGGCTTCAGATAACGACTAATAAACTGATTGATCAGTGCAATCTCTGGAAAGCTTTATTCCTTTTTCTGGGAATAGCGATCCAGCTATTTTTCATGATCTAATGTACAGTACTGATGTTCTAGTTCCTTTTTTTCTTTTCTCGACTTATGGACAACCGGTTCCATTAATCTAGTGTTTAAGCCCTAATTTAAACCTATTACAAGCTTGACTGTGATCCTGTTCCAATAGCTAACCATGTTGCCATCAACACGACTACCTAACCTCAGAAAATTTCATGTATGACTGATTGGAAAAGAAATTCCGATTGATGAGAAGTTTTTGAGACTGCTGACAAAATTTCCACACACTGATTCCTGGAAAATTTACTGATTGCTTTTTGTCATTCGTAATAACATTAAGAAAGAAAGGTTTATTCGTCGATGATTGATTAAAGAACAAAGCAGACGAATTGTCAAATTGTTTGTACCACTCTGAAATTCCTTCCAGTTCATATTTCTCCGTGGTTCAGCCCAATTACTGTTTTTATATGTAAAGGAAAGATTTTTCATATGTGATAAATAAATATGTGAATAAGTTAAGTGACGAAAAATCGATTTACAATCCTTCAGCTAAATATTGAACGTGCAGAAAAGAGGCGTAAACCGATGCATTTCCGAGCAATAAGTGAACCTTTTAATAATCTAAGATGGAATTTCACAAAGTTGAACGAGAACGAGGTTAGTCTGTGGTTAATACAGGCTTCAGGATTCCTTCCATCTTCCACATTTTTTTGAAACATAATTCTTTCATGATGTAATTCTTTCTGCTCCAGTATATATACATATATCCAGTGATTCTAATTATGATCTTTTTTTTAAAGATATTGTTCTATCTGCAACGCAAGGACTATTTACTAAGCAATGATACATTGGATTACCATGTTGTTGCAGTTAATGCTGCACCGCTCTCGAGAGGACATTCCTTGCTGTTGCCATGCATGAATCGCCGTACACCACAGGTAAACCTCGCTTGACCTAATGGAGCGCAATATTATCATTCCAAGAATAATAGTTTTCAATTGTATTTTTTGGGCGTCTGCTTTCCAAATGATAGGTATCAATTTTAACCAAATTTCAAGCAAGATAATAGGAATTTTAGTTCCGTTTTTCTGTATTCTGTTTTGCTCTGCATTTTCTACTTTACGTTTTGAGAAACATGCTTAGTTGCAGTTAAAATAACACAAATGTAAATAACAATAAACACAAAATAACATAGAAGCTGCAGGCTACATGTGACATTGAGCAGCAATGCTCTTCCAGGTTTCTTCGTAAAATGAAGCTACCTTTTCATTAAATTCCTAAATGAAGCATTCTTCAGGTCCTCTCCGAAGTAGCAGTTCGTTTGGCAACTGACACAATGCTTTTAGTAAAGGACAATTTCTTTCACGTGCTATTCAACAGTCTCTTGGCGTTAGCTTCCATTAATCATCTACATCTTCATCTTTTAACCTGGCCTTATGATTCTGACTTGATCAATCGTGTAAGCCTTTTTTTTCCACCATCTCGATCTTTCTTATTCTTTACTTCCCTTCCTTTGTAGTACCTTTCAAAACGATTATAATATTTCTTTTGTGTCTCACTATTATACGTTGCGAATCAAATATGTCACAGTAGAATTTTCTTCCTAAATCCACACAGTTCATTTTATTTTATGTGACACAGGAATATTGAATGAATACACTAATGATATGATAATTGATTTATAGAGATGTGAACATCTGTTCGATAATGTATACGTAATCAAGCGCCCGATATGGTTTGCATATGCTTTTGTCTTCCAGCTAACCGGTCCAGAGCAATATGAAAAGTTTGTTACGTAAGTCCAGTGGTCCATAAAAGATGGAAAAGTGAAAGTAGCTGGGTACTTATTCGTTCCCATCCTTCATGGAATTTTCAGTATCACATATTCATTATCGGATGCGTAGATTTTCCATCTAATCGTATTTTATCACTTATGAAAAATTTGATTAAGATCTTTGGGATTTAAAACTCCTTATCAGAATGTGGCACTTCAACGCCTAAACATAGTCGTTCAAAACTCCACATGATTTTCATTTCAGGAGTATAGCACGTTGTGCAAATTATCTAAGCACTCATGAAGTAGCGCATAACATATTTTTCTCGCGTGCACAACCACTAAGAACGTCTGGTGCTATTCGATCGGAAGATAAAACAAATGTACTTCCACAACTTGTCACTGCATATATTTTTCCGCGTATTGCTGTTGTTGGTTTGTTTTTTGTATTGTTTACAAGTATGTTCATCAGCCTTGTCCGTCTTCTCAATTTTCCACTTTGCTTACCTGTTTCAGTTACCTCTTTATACATAGAGGTAAATAAGCTGAAGGAGTGGCGGGCATAGAGTAAAGGATATTTGCATGATACTTTCCACGTCCTTTTTCATGATAGTGCTGAGAAACCTCAACTCTTTCTTTCATCTCTCTTTGTACAATAAGATATTAAAGGTTATATTTTTGATTTCGTCTGCGAAAGGTAAATAAGCGTATTTGCAGGAGCCAAACCGTCAAAAAATTTCAGTCCAGCATCATTGGAACTCTCGGGATGTTTGACTGCCTACAGTAAGTATTCATTTGCTTTATTTTACGGATAGTCGTAATATTCATGTTTTATCGGACTATAGACTCTTTTTGTTGAATTCTTTGCAGGCAAGGTATCGAAGTTAAGCATTTCATGCTTGGTACCCACAGTGACTGCTTCAAACATTTTGCAGCATATCAGTTTTTCGAAACAGTCACTGAAGAAGCAGCACTACGCATAATAGACGAACATGCAACGTTATCTGACGCACGGTTCAATCAGATTTGTTCCGAATTGATAGAAGTTTTGTCCGGGAAGATGCTGGTCGAGCACAATACTGTTGACAAAACCGAACCGGTAGGTTTTATTGGTGCTATGATTCTTATTTTAGATGATGTTGCGCCGTTACTTCAGTAATGAATTAGCTGAAATAAGCAGTGGTAGTAAAGGAAACGATAACTTAAGTGGCAAGAGGTTAGATTGATCATTCCATATTTTCCAGCTATCATCGCCAGAACTAGACGAATTGCATGATTCATTCCAAACATTCGAAATGCAATCGTCAAGGCGCCCCTCTGTAAACTATCAACGATTTACATTTGAAGAAGACGGAAAACCAACAAATGCCAATCCAGAAACTTCTCTATGACTGTTCTTCCCCAGCACTTCCTCACTGCGTTTTTTTTTTTTTCAATATAATAACTGATTTCTGTATATTATGAAGAAAGGCAAAAGGCAAAATTCTACGCCTTTGTGCCTTTTTGATGTGCAACAATGCTGAACGCGTTGCCGAGGCTGCTAGGATCTGTTTGTAAACATTTTCATGTCTTTCGCCCTTCATTTTCGCTTCGATATGTCACGATCACGAGTCAATGATATGTTGAATAGACGTCACACATTGTTGATTGGAATCGAGTGTTTTAACTGAAAGGTGATCACTTGATTTCAAGCGATCAAGCGCTAAAGTAGATAGTGGTATTGACATCCTCTAAATTGAGGGGACAACTTCGATTAATGTCTAGAACAAGCCTAAAAAGATTAGCTGGTTTTTGAGTGTATAGCAAGGCTTATTATCAGCTTATAAACTGATAGCTTATGAGCAAAGCTTATAAAGTGATAATAATAAGCAAAGTTTGTTGTTACCAGTTTTTCACTTGTATATTCATTATCAAAGAAGGGAAAAAAACATTTAAAATCTTTGAACTGCATGTTTCTTATCAAAATATAGTGCATACTAAGGACCATCTGTTTTTCCTTCATTGGCCTGAATGACCGTGTCGTGACCGTATCGTATTCTCCTGGCATTTCATGGTTTGCATTTGTAAAAGCATCCCGTCATTTCTTACTATTGCCTCTCTTTGTTATAGTGTACTAACCACAAGCTTTATTGTTATTGGTAGCATTAATTCGTAGCATACACGCGTTATAGGTTTAAGGTGCCTTCTTTTGTCCAGAGATACTAATTCCATTCATCATTTGTTTCCACCGTTATATCAATTTTATTTTTTTTGATTTCAAGAACTAGGAGCTTTTTAGATGCAATGAAGTAGCAGTTGGTTCCTTCCATTTAGCATATGTATCAGCACTTTTTTCCAGTATTAGTTCAAGTAATAAGTAACTTAAGCTTGTATTCATGTAGTGTATTGTTATTCAATCGATGTTAACGGTAAAGTCGTGTGTTGATCGATAAACATCAAGAGCAACTAAGCCATCATAAGCTGCAATGGTCAAATAAGTGGAATCATATGATTACTGGAAACATTAACATCTCCCTTAAAAAATCCGTCACATACTGGCGGAACAGTGAAAAACGTGCGGTGCGGTTAAGAGGATGGAAACTCCTTACAGTGGTATGCATAATTCTTTACTATTGTGCGTTTACAAATGATAAGTGCAAGTAATTGTAGTGCGGTCGATTTTATGTCTTCTCAGAACACCTACACCATAGATGAATTCAAAAAAAGTGCATTGTACTTCATAACTTGCGAAAAAAGACAAGCGAGGAGGTAAAGACGCTGTAAAAGATTTATTAGTGACTATAAATTGATGACTGGTAACACTTTGGATGGTTTAACAGATCATAACGTCTTCCTACTCTTGTCGGCAGTGAAAGGCAGCTTAGTATTCTGCCCTAACATTAAATGTCGATATTGGATGTCTCGGAAGCCTTCATCATTAAGCATATAGCGATGTCTGTTAATTTTGATTGAACCTTTCACTAATGACCATAACTGATGTCCGGCATTTTCCAGTATTCGAACGTTGTGCTTTGTGAAAGGTATCTGGAATGAGCAAACAAGCAATGATAATTTAGCAATTCGGTGACATGGTACTATCTTTTCATCTTATCCCTAAAATCCGCGGGAAAAAAAGCTATAATTTAACTGATGTAATAGATTATGCATCTGAAGCCCGAGTTCTTTGAAATCTGTTTCCCTGTTCCGAATAGGCCTAAAAGTTGGGAAAATTTATAGAAATCTTGAATTGTCATTCAACTATATATTTAATTCCGGGAAATCTTTCCCAACTGGAAAAAATTTTAACAACAATGAATCGTTACAGCTGTTTTATGCCACTTTGTAGCCAACTATTTCGCAGTTATCTGATCAATATAAGAACTGTCTTAGTTGCAGAACTATATACGAACAAGTTACTCTGTTAGTAAAATCACCATCCACAATATTTTATGAGCATTATTATTCAACAATGACTATTTCTTGTCCAACTAAATGGTTAAGTTAACCAATCAGGATCAGGAGGTTAATCTTTTTTATGTAATTTCATTCTCTTACGAACTAACAGTATATTTATCTGAAAACAGTGATACAATCGTAACCGAGATTTTTAAGCGTCCTCTTTAGATTTGAACATTTTGAAAAACAAAAACGCGGTGCGTCAACTTGGGACAAACAATTTAAAAATTAACTAAGCAAATAACTAGCTTTCTTTCTAAATACACAGTTTTTGCTAACTATCGGAATCAGATGCATTCGAAGTTCTACGGCAAAGTTTTGATAAATTTTTCACGATAATTTTTCCTTTTCTTTAACGATAGATTTAGTTCTACGACAAATTTTTTACTTTCTCGATAGTACATGGAAAGATACAATGTACATTTCGCCCACAACTTGTTCAATGTCTAATCATCTTTCGTATCCGCCTCTTTCTCCAAATTAAGCAGGTAAGGAAAAAAGAAGATTTTTGAGTAGTTTCGGATTAAATGCGAGACAAAATATACCAATTTCAGAAGATGTAACCTGAATTTTGCTAAGATCATTTCAAATTCGCACACTTTATCACTAGAGCTACTTTTCTTCGCCAGTCAGTATTGATCCCTGAGGACGAATGAGAATAGGTAGGCCAAAAAAGATCGCAATGGTTAGTCCGGTTTATTAGTCATATAACGGCATTAAAAAACTTTCCACGGCATGCTTATAGCAAGACTAATCAGTAGCCGAATTTCGAGTTTCCTTCTTAACACTTTTGTTAATTTCATTATTATGTAGGCTTTGTTCTTACAACGTGTTTAGTAACCACCTTCCCACAATATACTGTTAGGAGATTAATGCACAAGTTATTTTATGCTTACAGTAGTAATCGAAATGCATAGGGGAAGAGCTATTCCTAAGAATGCTGAAATGTGCAGAAATGATACAAATAAGAAATCACCAGCTAACCTTTCGAGTAAATATGCCATAGTGAGAAATAACGGCGACAAATGTTTTCTGATCCTTTTTATTGATATAAATCCGATGAATTCGAATGGCATTGAGGTGCCATGCCAGATATGTCACCAGTAAAAAGGAAAACATCGGCAGTATAACAAAAATGCCCATCTGCAAGCACCACATTAAGCCAGCATAGGTAATATGATAATACTAGGAAAATAATAGCACCTGGCGAACTATGTTAGTATCCATGAAGGCTTTCCACAGTTGACCATCTTTCAAGTCTGTCATACAATTTTCGGATGCCAAGATGCCGATTACAGGTATCGCCATTGCAGCGAAAAAGATAAAACGTGAGGCATAATTATCTCGGTAAATCATGAACCAATCATTCCCATTCATTCTATCCCATCGATGTAATCTTTCCATTGTTCGTTGTGTGAATCGTCTGTTGACTTCCTGTAAAAAACGACAGAGGTCAAGCTGATAAGGCCAAAATAAAGAGGTTATTCGGATAACCATAGGCAGCAGCGGTTCCGTAAAGTGAGTATGTTTGACAAGATGAGGAAATAAAAGCAATGTACTATTAAAAATCAACCTAAAGCACAAACTTTTGCCCTACTTCAGCAAGTAGGAAATCGCGACGTTTTACTCACTTCATGCAGGTTCCCGAGACCTCTTCCTCTACTGGTGACAGCGGCATGTTCCCATCGGATGAAATGAACACGTGCAATGGGTGAAGCAAAAGACAGAATCCGTTGATACATCCACATATATCTATATACAAACGATATATTTCATCTGGAATATATAAGTTTAGTTTAACAGAACATCTACCGCATATTCTCGTTTTCATATTCTCGTACGCATACACCTCCACACAGGTGCAAACCCACACACGTACACTCACACTCATACAGATGCAAGCCTACATACATATACGTACATCTATGCTGGCATAAGTTTGCGCACGTACACGCACACCCACGCAGCGCAACCACACAAGTACACGTATACCCTCACTGGCGCAAAGATACACGTGCACCAAACGGGCGCAAACCCACATACACACCTGCACCCACGCACTCCTCTGCTTTGTACCGCAACCCAAGTTTCGATCGGTCACAAATGATTTATAATGACACACCTATCATGAAAATTTTCTTCCCATGCCGAATTCCTATTTCCTGAAGTAGAAGAGAAGAGAAATTAGTTGTGAAGAAGCGCTAATTGCTTGAGATAAATGTAATTTTGTACAATCTTAATTCTCCAACGTTTCCTCCAATTTCTACTTTCATATAAATTCAAATCTGATTGGATCGTAAAG